CCCAAACCGTTCTAGGATTATTCTGGCTTTTTTCAAAAAGCGTCAGCAAACACGTTGCGTGCACAAAGCCTTCTCCACTGCGCCTCTGCGCAGGAAAACCTTTAGTTTGGTTTGTTTTGTTTGGGTTTTTTTTGATATAACAAGCGAGTGTGTTGTCCTTGGCTGGCCACACGTGCATCACTTGCAGATCTGTCCCTTGTCTGCAGCCAGCGGGGTTTGCCACGCTGGGGTTTCGTCGCTCGCCACCTCGTGCGGGTTCCCGGCACCTTTGCACCGTTGTCCTCGAGAACAGCCCCGATCCCAACTGCCACGAGATGCCAGGAGGCAGGAAGGCTCCAGCGGGTCTGGAGCTGCTCTGCTGACACCCCCAGCGTGGTCGGCGGCCGCGGCTGCGTGGGCTCCCTCGGCGGAGCAGGGAGGGAGGAGGCTGCAGGGCGTGATGTCAGCCTGCAGAAATAGCCTCGGGAGCGGGGCCAGGTCCCGTCCGCCGAGCAGCCGGCTTGGGGAGAGCTGTGGTTTGCTCTCGGTGCTGTTTCTTCCCGGATGCTCAGTCGCATTGTACGTTGCCTCACGCAGCTCCTTGCAGCCGGCCCGGCATCCCGCTGAGCGCTGCTGCTCGCTGCCTTACTCCTCCGTCGGGGTTTGTTCACCCAAGTCTCTGCTGGCTCTGGCACGTGCTCCTCGTCTTCCTTACGGCTGCGTTTTTGTTCTCTCAGGTACTTGTTGTGGGAGAGGGAGTGAGAGCACCCACAGTTTTCTGCACGGAGAAGCGCGTTTCACCTGTCCGGCTCTTTCTGGAGGGCTGTTGGGTGTCGGGTCGTGCAGTGACCATGGTCACAACCAGGGCAGGACTTTACACGCAGGATGCAAATAGAGCAGCGCCCCTAAAAACACACGTTTCTGTCGTATTAAGGATCAGCAGTGCCTGCCAGGACCTTGTCCCAGTGAGAGGTGCCAGCCTGGGCTGGCTTCCAACGGGGGCTGGAGCAGACCTCAAGAACCCCCCCAGGAGGACCCTGGGACTGACAACCCCCGCCACCGTGCAGATCACGAGTGGGTGCCAGACCCAGAAAAGCAGCCAGCGACACGGGGCTCTGGGTCTGCCTTTAAATCCTGAGTGAAAATAGCATGGGTTTGGAGAAAAGCCGCATAAAGATGCGGAAGGGAGCTACTGGGGGCTGGGAAGCCTTTGGGGCAGAAGAGGAGCATCAGGCTTGGTACCTGTGCTTTGGGTCTCTGCAGAGGGATTCGCACCGCCCGCCTCTTGTTGCTGTTTGACCCACTTCTGTCTGCTGCCGCGGAGGGATGTGCAGAATGTGCTCTCTGGGTTACTAGGAAATGATGTGCTCTACGCCAAGGGCCTCGGGGGAGCCCAGGGCAGCAGTGATGCCAGCCTAGGTAATCCAGGGCTGGAGCCCCAGGGGAGCAGGACCCTCCATAAACCAACGCGCCACAACGGCTGCAGCAACGGAAAGTGATGCTCTTCATGGCGCTGCACGTGCTGGAGTAATTACCCTCCTCTTTGATTTATGAGAGAAACCCTGATTGTTTACAGTGGTGGTTGGTTAAGCTAATGTTTGCTGCCAAGACTAATTAGAAAAGAAAAAAAAAATCGGGCTCATCTACATTACTAGCGTGCTGTGGTGTCGGCAGTTTGATGGCACGGGGCGGGGGACACCAGCCCGTTCCCAGCTCACACCGCAGAGCAGGCGGGGGGTCCGCTTTGGTCTTTATCGGAAGGTGGCCTCCGCCCGCAGCAGGCCGGGTTTGCCCGCCAGAAACGGCAGCTTTAACTTGCATTTGGCCATTTGCATGTTTGATCACCAGAATCTGCAAAAGGTGGCCCTTTTGTCACAACTTTTGACAACCAGGAGTTGTTCTGCGCACGTTAAAACACAGATTATACGGAAAATAGTATTACTATATTTATATTATCCCCCCCTTGCCTGGGATGTCACTGCTACCCGCGTCACACCCTGGATAAAACTGTCCCAAACGGGTGAGGTGGGATGAGCGTGGTCCTCAGATAACTTGGGTGAGCAGGGCAGCCTCCTCCCTGAGGTGCAGATTTGGTCACCTCCCATCTCAAAGGAGCTGTTTCTCAGTGATACGGAGCATCGCCAGGGCACAGCTTTGCCTCAGTAACCAGCTCATATGTCTGGGATTGTCCTGGAAAGTTTTCATTGTTTAGGATTTGCAGAATTTAGCTATGTTAGGGTATGACTTTCTTATTAAGGTGATGCTGGAGAAAGTTTTTTTTGATGATGTTTTATTGAACTTTTATTAGAGTAACCTCCCCGTGAGATGGTGTCCCAGCTGCTGGTGGCACTAGACCCAGAGGTGCTCGGGAAGGTTGCAGCCATGTCACAGGCAGTCCAAACCCACCCATTTTCCATTTCTTGCGGAGCTACTTCATGAAATGATAGAAAAACACTGGCAGCAGTGGAAATGGCAGTATTTGCTATGTGTTCTGTGAAGCTGAGGTCAATGTTAGCTATTTTCTATAAATACATTTGGCAAAAATGGCCTTTTTTTTTTTTTTTTTTTTTCCATTTTTTTCCCATCCCCAAATTCAGCGAACATTTTATGACTGCTCTATTTTGGCTCATTCTTCACGAACATTCATAAAAACATTTTGTTCCTGGGAAGATTCATAGAAAATAAATGTTAAAAATCTTTTCTCTCTCTCCTGCATGCACACATTTATATATATATATATATATACATGTGGGCTTTTAATGCCATCTCCCATCAGCTCCTCCTGGAGAAGCTGTTGAAGCCTGGGCAGTCCTGGACCGTAGCTGCAAAACGGCGCCTTGTCCTGCCCTGCAAAACTTTTTTCTGCCCGATGCGATGCATGGGTGGGGGATGCTGCAGGGAGGGCAAAGCCCTGCGGGGTGCTTTATCTGCTCATCACGACGTATCTCACCGAGGGCCACCTTCCTGCCACCTGGGAGGATTTCTGGAAGGCCCCCCTGGGGCAGGGCTTTGTAGGGGGACGACACAGGACCGAGGCGCCGCGCCCCGGGCTTGCACAGAAAGGCTCTGTGATGTGATTTAGATGAAATTAACTCGGAACAGAAGCGGAGCGCTGAAGTCGCTCCCTGGCAGCTGCCTCCCGAGGGGCTGGCCGCGGACACGCTTGGTGACCGGTGTCTGTTCCAATCCAAATCTTGGCGTAATGAAAAAATAAAGCAAATTCTTGTGGAAGGGGGACGTTCTGCACGTGGCCGAACTGGTGTTTTCGTCTTAATACAGCTGCATAGACACGGGACAGCCTTATGCAGCTTCTTTCTCGAATGCTATGCGGTTGTGCGCGTACACGTTGTGTATCTGTGCGTGTACACGTTGTGTATCTGTGTGCGTACACGTTGTGTATCTGTGTGTACAAACACAACGAGCTCTGTTCCGGCGCTGGTGCGGTGCTGTTTGGTACCTGCCAGCCCTGTGCCGCCGCACTCTGACTCTGCCGGTTCTTCTCTCTGCTTTGCTGTTCCCAGGGCTAAAGGCTTCTCTCCAGAGGCTGCAGCTGGAGTACGTGGATGTCGTCTTCGCCAACCGGCCAGACAATAATACCCCCATGGAAGGTTAGTGGAAGCTTGAATTAAAGGTTTTGACTGTGACTGATCCTGGCTTACAGGCTTAGGCCAACGATGGGAGGAAGCAGAAACTAATTTTTTATTAAACATTCAGGTGGGACAGCTTAAATATGAAATACCTCATTTGTGATACCCTGGAGCCCTAGATATTTAGACCTCAGTGAAATGAATTTGTATCTCTTGGAAGGAAATTGAAGTTTCCTTTATGTCCCAGTGGCGGCTTTAACATTGTTTGGTTTTTTTATTTCCTTTCCCTGATCCCTTCAGATAAAGTGAATTTCTGTTTGCGTTTAAGGCAGGTCCTCTTTGTGTCAAATGAAATCTGTATATCCCTGCCCCTGGTGTGGCCAGCTCTAGAGAGGGCAGCGTGCCAGCGCCGCCGTCCCCATCCTTGTCCCCGTCCCCTGGGCTGCCCAGGTAGCCCGTGCTTCTCCCAGCGCAAACCCCAGGCTGGGATCCAGTGCACGGTCAGAAACAAGAAGCGAGTGGCAAGCGTCAGGGTCCGCTGCCCCGAGTGCACGAGCAGCACAGGGCGAGTCTCTGATGGGCTCGGTCGAGGGGCCGCGCAAGGACGGGCACCCCGGGGCGCAGCGGGGTCGCCCCGCGCACGGAGAGCAGCGATGCTCTGCCCGGGGCTGGGCTCAGCCTCGGCACCCCTTGGTCCTGGGCGGGGGGGGAATGGTCTTTGTGAAATTCAGACTGTGAAATTCAGGGAATGAACTGAGTAACTTGCAAGATCTGTGACTATCTGAGCGCTTTAATTATGTTTCATAATTTCTGATAGCCATGTATGTATGTTTGGTATGTGGCCGGATACCCCAGTCACCCGAGAACCTTCACCAACATGTTTTGGGGTTAGTGCCCTATTTAATGGGCACCAGTTCCCATTCCTTCTCTTTTCCCATCGGAGTTAACACAGCCATTCACACTACGGCAGAAGATTAGCTTCACAGCTAAATAAAAAATAGCAAGAAGGAAGACTTGCAGGCTGCAGAAGCTGTCATAGATGAGTACATGCAAATCAAGCAAACCTGGAGCTTGACAGGCCCCTCCGAAGCTCCTGGCTTGACTTTCAGCAGTCGTGACACCTCTTTTCTTCACGACCACAGGGCTGCGCGGCCCGGCACGAACCTGGGATGGGCGGCAGCACTGCTGCCCCGGCCGGCGCCGGCAGCTACGGGTTGAGGGAACTGGCCCGGGATTCTAGGACCAGTGCAGGTTTTGCAGCAGCTGACGAGGTGAAGGAAGATGACGTGTTGTATCCTGGAGGGAGGAACGGCCTCTCTGCTCGGTCAGTTGTCGCCTAATGAGGCAGCGCCGAATATGTTTCCCGTGCCCGCGCAGCACAGCTGATCTCGGGCGTTTGCAGCTTTCTAGATGCTACAGATACCGCTTGGCAATAAGGGATCAACCGTGGTGCTCGGTGAGATTTTGAGCAGGGTGAAAAAAGGGACGTTTTTGTTATGAATGGTGTGGTGTTGATTCTTCCTGTGCGCTTCGTGCTTTTTTTATGGTTCACCTACTAAGCCACTTCTATCCCAGAGCATCTTCTGAACCATCTGTCGGTTCTGCACGATCTGGCGTGCACAGCGAGGGCTGAGCTACCTTCACAAGACATACCATCCCCGCTCCATCTCCTTACGTGCCGACGCTTTTCCCCACGGGCAAATCGCCGCTTCCGACGGAGAGCGACTTGTAGGGAACCTTGGAACGTTCCCCGCTCGTGCTGGGGCGCGAGGGTCCTGCTCGAGCAAACCGTGTGGTTGCAGGCGGTCAGGTGCCACCAGACGAATCCAAGGATGAGCTTTGAACGTTCATTTTGGCTTCTTCCCTCGCTGCACGCAGGCAGGGGAGGTTTCTCTGCTGTCACTCGGGGTCCTCTGTCTGTGGGCACTGGCAGGCGATGGATGGGCCATTTAGAAATACCACCCTGACCAGAGCAGACCTGCATCCCGCTCCCACGGGCTCAGGCTGCCTTGGGAGGCGTGGGCAATGGGGAGCTGGTAAGAGAAGATGAGCGTTTCATGCAGATTTCTTTATTGTACGTGACTCTGGTCCCCAAAGCGGCAGGCAAAGCTCGCTTAATCTAAAAGTCAGAAATGTATTTACCTTTCTTAAAAGTCTCAGAGCAAATTAAAAAAGCTTTTCATCGTACAAGCAATGCAGTGTCAGCTCCAAGGAACATCGGGAGAGGAGTACCCCGCACAAAGCTCTTCGCGTAACCCTGCAGTCAGGTCCGGCCGGTCCCTGGCCAGGACAGCCGTGCCTCTCCTCGCCCCGGAGCTGGTCTCGGGTCTGCCCGTG